ATATATATATATATATATATACACACACACACACTCTATATTGCCAAAAGTATTGGGACGCCTACTTTTACGCACACATGAACTTTAATGACATCCCAGTCTTAGTTCGTAGTGTTCAATATTGAGTTGGCCAGCCCTTTGCAGCTATAACAGCTTCAACTCTCCTGGGAAGGCGTTCAAAAGGTTTAGGAGTGTGTCTGTGGGAATGTTTGACCATTCTTCCAGAAGAGCATTTGTGAGGTCAGGTACTGATGTTGGAGGAGAAGGCCGGGCTCGCAGTCTCCGCTCTACTTCATCCCAAAGGTGTTCTATCGGGTTGAGGTCAGGATTCTGTGCAGGCCAGTCAAGTTCCTCCACCCCAAACTCTCTCATCCATGTCCTTATGGACCTTGCTTTGTGCACTGGCGTGCAGGCAGTGATGTTGGAACAGGAAGGGGCCATCCCCAAAACTGTTCCCACAAAGTTGGGAGCATGAAATTGTCCAAAATGTCTTGGTATGCTGATGCCTCAAGAGTTCCCATCACTGGAACTTTGCGGCCATGTGCAGGTAAGTTGTCTATTCTCCAGTGGACTTTATACTTTGCTGCTTAGAGATGGTCTTGTAGGTTTTACCTTTGACACGCTGGTCTATAATTTTCTTTCTGGTCTCCTCAGACAACTCTCTCCTTTGCTCTTTCTGGTCAATGTTCAGTTTGGTGCACACACAGATACCCAACAGCCGAGTGACTACTTTTCTCCATTTAAATAGGCTGACTGAATGCTAACATGGAAGATGCGTGGATACAAATTACAAAAAAAGTTAGTTTAAAATATCACTATGATCCAATTATTTATATTATTTATAATCTTTATTAGGGGGAACCAACAAATCTGTCCAGGCCATTTTCGAATATCTTATTACAGAGATCAATAATTTATCTCTTTTCACACTTTCTTTGCTTTACTCTTTGATATATCAAAGACATACGGGTATACAGGAGAGTATTGCTTTTATTTGCATCACTTTTCGGTTGGAATACAGCATTGTTTCAATGACCTGTATGGGTACCAACAAATTTGTCCACATCTGTATGCAGATGACGACTTTTCCGACACTTGCTCAGAAAGTATTGAAGCCAAGGAACACAGCACAAGAGCCAGGCAACTATTATTTTCAGAAGAAAGTCATAAATATTTTATTTCCTCTAGAAAATATTTTATTGGAACATCATTCATCTTTTCCTGTCCACATATTCCTTCATTTTTATGTCTTTGGTTGGTATTGGTGTTGATGGCATTTCATTCATACTCCCCCTTTCTTTCTTCCACACACATTTTTATAACTTGTGTTCATTCTTTGAACTTTTTTCTCTCATTTCCTTATCAGTGATTGCAGAATGCAGTCAATCATCAGAGCCTCTCCCAGGCTGTGACACAAGAGGAGCTGCCTCCTTCCCTCATTCTCACCCTGGCTGTCTTACCTCCAAACAGCTGTCTACAGAGCTGTATTCAGGATCTGGACAGCCCAGTGCACACACCACTTTCTCTGAACACTTCAGAAACCTTCTCCATGGAAATATTTTGCTGATCCTTCCAGGTTAAAACCAAGCTAAACAGTTCTGTGTCTTGGACTAAACTAAGTCTATCACACAAGAGAGAGGGAGAAAGTTAAACTGGAGAGTCCTCTGGAAGATGCAGAGCTTAATAAGAGGAGGCAAACTTTGTTTTTACCAAGATTTCAGCCTTCTGAAGAGGAACCCATCTAGGTCTTGTGTTGTCTGAGTCCCCTCTGGTTGAAAAGTTACAGTAGTCTCCGCAGGTAAGTCACAAGAGGGGGTCTTCAAAGTCTTGTCGATATTTCCTTTTTGTTGAGTTGTGTTTGTAAACATACCTGTCACTTACTATACATTGGAAGGTCTAACAATAACAAATGAACTTGAAATATGGATATACAGTAAAGCATGGATTCCATGTGTCTTTGGTTTTTAATATGCATCCCTGGAAGTTTAGGTCCTTGGGGTTCCAAACCAACCAAACTGACAAAAACATGACTCCTTATGTAAATGAAAAAGTCTTTGTCTTTGATACTTAGTGCCTTTTTCAAAATATATTTTTGTTTATTAAATAGAATTTGATATGTGATATGTACTATATAGCAATACAGTATAAAGTGTGGCAAGGTTTCCTCCTTTGTCCTGCAGCACAGTGTCCCTGGATGGTGTTTTGCCAAATATTACCAAGTACAGTGCTTCTCAACTCTACAGCTACTGTATGTTGTCCAAAAACCTAGAGATTTTACTACGAACAATTCCTTAATATTATAATATTGCTAAAACATGCTTTGAATTGTTTTATAAACAGATTTTTCCTGTCTAAATCCTTAAAGGGTCAGTCTACTCCGTGCTAATATTTTACATTTTGTATAAGTGCTGGCATTCTTTAGGTACCGTAGTGACAGAATCACCGCTCTTGTGTTCACAGGTTGGCCTACCTGCTTCAGACATTATGAATGGGTCACATTCCTTCCATTAGATTTTGTTTATGTTATGGAAAATGCAACAGTAGGAGTGAGACCTATAGTGCTGGCGGTGGGGAGGCGAGTGGGGATAGGAAAACCATCACGGAGCTACGAGGAGTGAAGGTAGAACTCAGGCTGTTACTGTTTACCCAAAATGGAAATATTACAACATACAGTATTTAAGTTTTGCAATGGTGAACTCTATAAGCTGTTCTAGATGAACTTTTTATAATGAATACTCGTTCAAGCAGTAGAAAAATACCATCAGATGTACCTGGGCCATTGCTGGAGAGAGTCATCTGTAGTTCATAGGAATTGTTGTTTGCTGTAGGCTGTAATATGTTATGCAATGTGTTTTCCTCCATTTCTTTCCTGAACTTGACACGACATTTACCTTTTCCTCCTTCTATACAGCTGCAGCTTTATTTCTGCCACAGGACCCTCCGGGACAACCAGCGATGGCACACACAAGTAACTTCTTGTGGGTTTTGGGGTTTCTGCTTGTTCATGGCTCCCTTGCAAGACCCCCAGATGAACAGGATTACTATCAGCAGGAGATTGCATCCAGGGACAATTATTACTTTTACCCGGACCCTGAGGAGATACAGACACCCCTGGAGCCAGAAGGAGGGGAGGATGTGGCCCCAGATCCTATAATGGAAGAGGTACATCAGAGCCAGGACACAAGGGAGGAAGAGAACTACCCACTGCCCAAGAAAGAGATCAGCAAACCTAAAAAGATTAACAAGAAGCCAGGCAAGTTTTTTTTTCTATAATAAGTTGGTAGACAATTGTCTTCTTTAGAAATGTTTGGCAGATTTGTTTTTACACAAATGGTGGAAAGAATGAAAATTGACAGTGCTGCTTTTAGCAACTGATCAGCTGTTGTTGACATTGTCACCAGCTCTTAAAAATAGTAGCTGGAACCTGATTGGTCCTTGCTAACAATAACACAGACACCTTTATTCTTCCAGTTTCTCGACAGTTTCAAAAAACACCTGGTACAAAAATGTACAGTTGTGGACTGGACCGTACCATGAAAAGCATAAGCACGGGTGTCATTATACACTTTAGGTAGAGTTTCTACATGTGCAATGGTGTGCCTGAAGGCTCGTTTACATGGATATGATAAGAGAGCATATTAGGCAATATTTCTCAACACCTCAGTACACACATTTTTATTTGTTGGACATAGTTTTGCACTGCACAAGCTAGTAACCCCCCCCCCCCCTTCCCCACTCGTTGAAAGAGAATGTCCAGTGTGGGCCATATGGTGATGGGAAGACATGGGCAATGGATGATCTTCTGCACCTTCTCTGCAGAAAGAGAATTCCAGTGTGGGCCATATGGTGATGGGAAGACATGGGCAATGGATGATCTTCTGCACCTTCTCTGCAGAAAGAGAATTCCAGTGTGGGCCATATGGTGATGGGAAGACATGGGCAATGGATGATCTTCTGCACCTTCTCTGCAGAAAGAGAATGTCCAGTGTGGGCCATAGTGGAAGACATGTGGGTGACTGGAAGACATGGACGAAGGATGATCTTATGCATCTTCTCTGCAGAAACAGAATGTCCAGTGTGGGCCATATGATGCCTGGAAGACATGGACAGTGGATGATCTGCTGCATCTTCTCGTAGTATGGCCTCTGTCTGTGGGAACCCCCGAAAAACAATTGTCCTCCCACACAGATTAATGAAATAAAACAAGCCTTTATTATAAATATCAAACACTATGCATATGCATGGCGTCCCTCAAATGAAACCCACATGGTAGAACACCTAATAACATCCTAAAACTCCAACCACCACCAGTTCCTCATAGATTAGTTACTGTAACTTTGGCACCACCTTCAGGAGGAACTGGTGGTATGGCATTTGGGGTTTTAGGATGTTTTTCATTGTGTTTACACTGTGGGTGTAATTCTTTTAGGGAATGCCATCCACATGTATAGGGTTTGCTTGTTTTGTTTTTGTGATGTGGACGATTATTTTTGTGTGTTTAGTGTCTTATATTGGTGGCCCCCTGTCTGCACACTTAGTGGTGCTGGTTTTTATCTTTTTGGTTGATTTGTTATGCTTGTATTTGACACTAACACCACTAAGAGGAAAGGTAAAAGTAAAGTCCCAGGCAAGTAAAACTTATTTCTCGCCTCTTTCATCTTCTCTGCCCACTGCCCTGTGCATTAAATTATCATTTAGATAAATGTTAGCAATATGTAGCCATTGCAGAAATCTGTGATGTACTAGTGCTGTCAAGTTTATGCCAAAGAGGCATCTGGAGCGCACTTAAGAGAGACTGTCTTAATGATTTGCCAAATGGGGCCCGAGAGCCAGATGGTAAGCACACATCTATTTATGAGGCTTGGCTCTGGCTGGTCTATACTCAATGTGCTGCGTGTAGCTCAGGAAACATAATCTTTGAGTGGGGACCACAGCAGGTCTTATGCCCTGCCTGTGTTATGTGACAGCCATACAGTAATTGATTTCACAGGGCTGCTTGTTAAAAGAGAGGAGGAGAAAGATGTTTTTCTATATTAAAGTCTAGTTCTAGGAAAAACCTTTTATTTAATGGTTGTATAGAGTTGGAAACAGTAATCATTCCTGTTAAGGTTTTACTGCTGAACGTGACCACGTTGGGGAGATTTCAGCTCACTTCCTGTGACAGCAGGACAAGAAATAAGGGGAGCGTTTGTCACTGGGCTAGGAAGAAAGATTACAATAATAATCTGACTGAGGTTCTAACCCTTTCCCACTCTACTAGCAGTTCACGAGCGCAAGTCAGAAAAAATTGTATGCATGTTGGATCAATGGCACTGTATCACCTGAATTGGCGCTCTAAACCAGCAGTTTTGGATGTGCACCTGGTCATAAATGATTGATTTGTTATATTGCCTTGATACACCCAGCCCTACCTTTGGAGTTGCAGTTTCCAAATATTGCACTGATGGGGGATTACAAGCACGAAACAGTCTGTTGTGTATTTTAGGCTCTGTTGTGCTATAACGAGAACTGGTTCTGAGTGATCAGTTCACCACTGGGGCTCCTTATGTTGCAATATATGAAACATATGATAGTATGTAAGTGCCTCTTGTTTTAACTACTCATGTCCCAGGTACACTAAGGCCTGGTTCACACCTGAGCGTTTTTCCGTGTGGAACTAGACCCCGCGAAAACGAGCAAAACACAAATTTTCATGCAAGTCAACGGGGACTGTTCACACTTTAGCGTTGCGTCATGCGTAGGAAACCACCTGTCGCGCGATGCAGGAGCTATTTTTAGGCGGATGTTGCACAGTTGTGGTCCCATAGACATCTCTAAGCTTGGAGAAATGCGCAGTTTTAAAAGCAAAAACGCGCAAAATCGTGTAGAAAATAATCACGCGATCAACATGCAAAAACGCGCAAAACTAAGAAAAAGGTGTGAACCAGTCCTAAACCTGCACTGGAATAGCGTTTCTTTTGTCCCAGTGCTGTTTTAAAACAGTGCCTAGTGGTCTCAGCAGCTGGGGGGGGTTGTTAAAGCTGAACCCCGCTTAGGCAAACAGCTAAGTGTTCCAAGTAAATACATTTTTCGGAACTCTTTTTGTCTGCAGAAGAATTTGTATTTCTGTTCATTAAGTCCTGCGATATACAGTGTTCTACCAGGCAGCAGAGCCAAGTTCATGACCTGACTTTTCTTTACTGCAGTTCAGGACTGATGCCTGGTCACCTACCTGCCCCATTGTGTGATTGGACAGTGAAGGCACAGCTACAGCATATTTATGAATCGTTCCACTGTTCACTCTGCTTTCTTCTATTGTCAGAATGTTCTTTGCCAGTGTAGCGCTCACCCCCGAAGGAGCCGCTGGATGATCGGGTCTTCCTCTAGCCTGTCTAGGGATTTCTAAAACACATGGCTGCCCCAATAGCACTTACCACCTCCAGTGGCCACCGACAAATTGAAGTCCAGACAATAGATCCAAGATGATTCTCTTTTATTGCTGAAACTCCAGGGAGAGAGGGAGAGGGTCAGGTACATCCAGGATGAGGTAGACTTCTTTTCTTAGAAATCGAGCATAGTAACTGCTGCCATCACAGACTAGGACCTTTAAGGTGTCCCGGCAATCTGTGTAGAGAACATCTGGCAAGCATTACTTTAGAAGTCCTCATCTATTTCCAGCTCCAGCATGAGTGGCTGACCACTGGGCCTCCATGCTCAGGCCCCAGTGTCAGTTCCAGGCTAGCCCCCAGGCTTTGGCCTAGCCAGTTCAGTCTCTCAGCAGCAGGCATCCTGCCGCCAGGAAGGCCCTGAGGGAGGGAAGAGACTGTTGCATCAACCACACTGAACATTTATATCTTCTCCCAGCATGCATCACTGCTACTGCCCTACAGTGACTGGCTGGGAGACATAAATGCCCAGAGCAATCCTTGTTGGCTGTTCTGCTCTGTGTGGTGCCACACCCAGCAACAGGCAGATACAGCTTCACAGATTGCTCTGTAATAGTTGAACTGAACATAGACTACAGATATATTTTAGCACTCCTGTTAGCAGGGTGCTACACCGGTAATATGCACTGCAGCACACCTAATTTCCAATTTGAGTACTGCTGTACAGGGGGTTATAATGCCAAGCCAAAATCGGGTACTTAAACCTGATTTTGAAAAGATACCTTTGCAGTGCCCCCCACACTGCAAGGGTTAAATGCCCATTAAGTCCATGGGTAGAGGAATAAGGTGTAATACTTACCTTATCGCTCGCTCCCCCAGCTGCCATCACTCTACTCTGTTCTACGATGCTCTGGGTTGTGGGAGGGCATCATCATCTTCCTCACGTACAATGCAAGTCTCCTGGTCTTGTAATAAATGTGATGACATCATAGGGTGACCACCATCCAGAGTACTCAAGAGAAGCAGCTTTGGATTACCAGTCGCACAGTGTGGTAGAAGCGTGCCGGAGTGATGAATAAGTAATACAGTTTATTCTGCTATCGCTAGTCTTACGGATTCATTTATAAATGCTTTGCCCAATGTATAGCTGGGTGGATGCCATTCACACAACACTAGTGCCCCTAGATGGTGCAGGTGATTTCTTATACTCATCAGCACCACCTAGGAGTATTAGTGTCGTATGAACAGCATTAACTTTTGGAAAATGAACCCCTTAATGAGGACTCACTCCTTGCAAGGGTCATTTTTACTGCAGCCTGGTTTGGGGCTTTAACGCTAGTTCCACTTGTAATACATTTATAATATACACCCAACTGTGTTAATTGGTGTTTTTTAAAATATCTGCATGGAGTTCAGCTTTAATACTAGGACCAATAGCTGAGGGCAGTGGTTCAGGGCTGAGCTCCTTGACTTGTAACACTGCTACAGAGCACTCAGTAACAGTTCTTTGTAGCAGTTTAACACAAAGCTACTGTATGGAGATTATGGAGGAAATGTTGTAATGTTATCACTGGTGTCATTGGTATTTCCTGTGAGCTCTGACAGGCTTATTTAACAGAGCAGATCAGATCCAGATCTTCTCCTCCTACCCCTGCAACAACTCAATCAATGGTAATTGTGACTAACAGATTATAATTGATTTGTTGTTTCAGAGGTTCATGGGGGGCTGGATTAGGACCCCCAAATGATCCAGCTCCTCAAAAAAGTGTAAAAACATATTTTCTCAACAGTTATCTAATAAAAAGGTAACCAGTGAAATACCCCCTCTCTCTTTTAATTTTCCAGTCCAATAAATAACTCATATGCTCTGGATGACCATTGTGCTTATTATG